GCAGCCTCAGCTGTTTCCCAAGGTCCTTGTTCCTGCCTCATGGAGAAAGTTTATGTGGCAGGGTTCTGGTGGCTCTGTGAGCATGGGGGAGTCCTGTGGCCACAGTGGCCTTTGCCCCATAGTCCAGGAGCTCTGGGAAATTGATGCTGTCCAAGAGAATGAGTCACATGGAGAAAAATCTTGGGCCATGTCTGGGAGGTGGGGGCTGGAAGATGGGAGAGTTTCTCCTCTCCAACACACAGAAGGGGAAAGAGTGGCAGCCTCCAACACGGTGGCAGAATGGTTTTGGTTTTGGTTCTGTCCTAAGGCTGGGTTGAGCCTATGAAAGCATTCAGGTCTGCCTGTGTGCTAAGAAGCTGAGCAGAAGGCTAAGATGAGAGAGGTGTTGGAAGAGAGGAGGTGGTGGACTATCCCCAGGCACTGCTCTTTCCCATTCCCACTCCTGTGACCATTTGCCATCATCTTCTCCTGATTCGCTCTTTTGGGGAAGCCAGGGATGTGTTTGGGAGCTCCAATAGAAAAGGCACAAGGTAGTGGCCAGCAGAGAGTGTCCACCCACGGCTTCCTCCACCTTTTGCCCTCAGCTGCCTGGAAGAGTTCCCACACAAGGAAGGAGAAAGCAGAAGGCCAGCTTTGGATGCCAAGCAACTTTATTGAGTCTAAGGAAGAAAAGGAGTTAGCTCAAAGAGGACAACAGCAGCAGCCACTGGGGTTGCCTGGCCTACAGGGGGATGGAGAGAGGCAAACAGGTCCCATTAGGCTGGCATTGAGTTTTGCTGACACTAAAGGAAGGGAAGAGAGTGGAAGAAAAGAGCACTAAACCAAGGGCACAAATGCATTGTTCCAAAGATCCACGTCCAGTGCAGTTCAACGTTCTGAGGTTGTGGAGGTTCCTGTCCAAGGATGTTGCCAGCTGATTTAGCAGGGGGGACAACATCTGCTGCCGTAGCAGCTGGTGATGCAGGAGAGGTCAAAGCCCCCAGAGCTGATGGGCACTCCCTCACAGCTGAGGATGCTGCCAACAGCAGCAGAGGTGGAGGATCCCACGGCGGTGTTCTGTGGGGAGGAGCTGAGGATGGGGCCAGGCAGGGTCACCAGCACAGCAGGCGGCTGAATGACAACGTGGGAGCTCTGGCACTGCCTGACACAGCACTCATTGCAGCTGCTGGCCAGCGGGCAGGGGCCGCAGGGCTGGCAGCAAGGGTCGCAGGGCTTGCAGCAGGACATGGCTGGGGCTCACGGGTGCACCTGGCACAGAGGGCAGGGAGAAGCACAGAGTGAGGGCACATGAGAAGCAGCACTGCACTCAAAGCCCCTGCAGCCAAGGCACCTCCTGGCCCACATTGCACTGCCCAGCTCAAAGCCCAGGAGCCACCTCAGCCCAGTCCCAGCCTCTCTCTGTCTGCACAAGACCTTCTCTCCCATGCCCTCTTCCAGCACAAGCAGCTCCAACAGCCCCTCTCAGCTGAGACCTCCAGCCAGGCGAGAGCTGCTCTTGAAGCAGCAGCAGCAGGTGGAGGAGAAGAGGCTTTGCGCTCCCCTGATTCCTGGGGAGAAGGAGGTGAGAGAAGTGGATGAGAGAGCAGAGACTTGGGCTGCCTTTTATAGCAGTCCTGGCCTGCCTCAGGCTCTCCGGCCCCTTAGTGGAAGCCATAATTTTCCGACCAGCTCATGTCAGAGGTGCACCATCCCAGTTAATGGTAGGGGCTGTGTCCTGGTTTCCTGCACTGCAGCCTCTATTTTCTGGCTTCTGCCCTGAGCATTCCTATCTGAAGACTCCTTCTAGGGCCGGGAGGAGAGGTCCAAGAATTTCCGGGATATAAACATGTCAGAGTAGGCAGAATGCTGGAATCATGGTCTGGTGGCATTCCACGCAGGCAGGTATTGCACCTTGATTCCTTCCTACTGGGTCAGCATAATTGGTCAACAGTCCATGCCCATTTCTTCAGCTGATTCCTGCTCTTCCCCTGTGTTGTGTAGGTGCCACAGCAAGGACACTTCTCCCAGAAAAGTGCTGCCCTACCTCCCTAGGGCCCATTCTCTAGTCTCATGCTGGTCTTTCCCACCACATATTCTTACCGACAATCCTTGGTTCTTATTTCCAGCTGTGCTGACTTGACCTTGGCCAAACAGCCAGTGCCCTGCAGCCACTCTATGATTCTCCATTCTGAGGTGAACAGGAATAGGAAAATAAGAAGGAAAACAACTAGAATATTATGATATGTCATTTGGTGAAAGCAAAAGGTTGTGCATGCCGTAGTAAACTGGAAAAAAACCCCACTTCTTATGCTCTACTTCCAATCAGAAATTTCTATCTGACCCCTTCCCAGGATGCAGGGCTTGAGCACATATGGAGGTCTTACTTGAAGGTAAACATTGCAAATTACAAATGCCAGCTCTTGTGTCTCCTTTCCTTAGCAGTTGTGTCTGACCTCATGTCATATGGCACAGAATATCCCTTTTAGTCAGTTTGGGTCAACTGTCTGAGTTTTGTCCAGTCCCTGAATCTTGCCACCCTCCAGCTCCTGATGGGGAAGGGAATGTTGGAGAGACAGTGCTGGTGCTGTGTGAACAGTGCTCAGCAGAAGCCAAAGGACTGGAGTGTTACCAGCACCTTTGTAACACCCAGTGCACAGCACAGCCCTGCCAGGGCTGCTGTGGGGAACATGAACTGCATCTCTGCTAGACCAAACACACCCAGAAGCCTTGGCTGGCCCTAGGGGCATCCAGCTCTCTGTGTTTGAGACATAACATCAGCCCTTATCTCCTAGACCTTCCACTGGCCTGGGACACAGTTTCTTCCTGTCCAGTCCAATGCTGCCGCTCAGTCTGTTGAGGTGGGGGCCAAGATCTTACAACAAATGTGCGGTTGGAATTGGAGGGATCAGGGTACAGATATTGCCTTGCTCTGAGATGTAGGATAGATGTTCTGGGAGGCACAGGGACAGTCAAGAACTTTGGTTTCTTAGGGGAAGAAGCCTACACCAATTTCCACACTACCTCCTTCCAGGTACTGTCAGAGATTGATATAGTCTGCACTAAATCTTACAGATAGTGGTAGACAGTAGTGGCTGGCCAAACAAATCCAATTCCCTCCATAATGGAGACATTTAATCAGAGGTGATTTGGAAAAGGATAGAATGCTGGGTGACAGCTGCTAAAGAGCAAAAGCTGTGGTGGGACACCTACTGAGCCAGGCATCTCTCTGCAGCCTGACATGGGAATGGATGGAGATCTGTCAGTTTGGGGATTTACATGTTCCTGAGGCAAGGCTGGCTCACCTTTACAGACAGCGTGAAAGACACTTCCTTAGGCAAAAGACTCTGACCCCTTTCTAAAGAAGTAGAGAAAGGTGCTGGTAATGGCCTTCTTTCCCCATCCCATGCAGAGACCAACTGACTCTCCCCATGGAGCAGAGACCAGGCATGGCCCTTCACTTCCTCCAGGAGGAGAGGTGCTCTGAAGAAGAAGAGCACCATGTGGTCATGGAAAGCTCCAACCCCTGTTCCATAGAGGCCAAACGCCACTCTGCTGAGTACCAGCAATGAAGAGAGTTGTCTCCAGACTCCCTTGATTGAATGTGCTCACCCCATCTTCCCTTCAGCAGGGACTCAAAGAACCAAGATGCTGGCATTCAGCTTCATCCTGCTCTAATCCCCAAACCTCTTGCTCATACAGACAAAGGAGCAAGCTCTGAAACTGGGCTGCCAATCACTAATGAGTAGTCATTATTCCCCAGGACTCCCAGAGCCTCCAGGGAAGCCCAGTGTCCCAAGCTGAGCACCAGCACCACCTTGGTGGCCCCTGAGACTCTGGAATGCAGTCAAAATTTGGAGTAGGAAGCACTGACCAACACTTCTAGTTTCCTTGCTCTGATCCAGGATATTGTTGTCTCTAGACATCACTCACAGAGCAGCAATGCATAAATGGAATTCCCCAGAGTGTGGTGGCAGACAAGTGGTCTTCCCTGTGCAGAACACTCCCAATGCAGAACTGCAGCACTCAGGGGTGTGTTCACACAAGTGTAAAAGCATATGAATGTGCAGACACACATACACACTGTGGTTCAGGCAACAGTGCAACAGGTGACTCAGGGATGGTGCAGGCAGAAAAGGAATCTAAAGAGGTTTTAAAAGAAGGACAAGGATCATAGTCAAGGGAGGCTAAGGGTGATGAGCCAAGGACTGGACGGCTGGGAAAGGAGGGGCCCTTGCAGTCATCAGGAATATAAAAAATCCAAAGGACTGCCCCATGCTGGCATCACCTGCCTCCTTGTGATCCCTTCTGCACTTATTTCATGTCTATTGCCCAGTCTGGTACATCCTTGCCCCTAGGAAATCTTGATTCTCTCATAGCAGCACTCAGAAGAAGTGTCCGTGAGGGAATGGCAATGAGGTAGGCCAGGAAATGCAAAGTCATTGTAGAGGGAAAATCCAACTCATGCCATACCATTCCCAGAGGTCTTTCCATTCATTTGGGATGATGCAGGAATATCGTCATTTGTGCAGCACAAAGTGAGGACCCTGAGGCACTGTGGGGCCAGGATAAAAGGCAGCCTAACTGGTGGCTCTCTCAACCACTTCTGTCACCTCCTTCTCCTTGGCAACCAGGTGAGTTGGAAGCTTCTTTCTCCTCCACCCTCTCCAAGAAGGCCTTGGCCTTTCTGCCCCTTCTTCCTGCTCCTTGTTCTTCTGGGGGTGTTCTCCTGTGGTGGTGCTGTGGGCAGAGGGCAGCGCGTGTCTTGTGGCCAGAGGCTGAGGCTGGGCTGAGGTGCTGATTTGCATCCAGGTTAGGCAGGAGCCCAGCTGGGCCTGGCTGAGCTGGGAAGGACCGTGCTGGGCTCAGGCAAAGGATCCCCAGGTTGGGCCTGCCCAGCCTGGAGCTCGGCAGGCAGCAGGGGCCTTGTCCTGCTGGGGGTGCCTTGCGGGCCGTGTCTCAGGTGTGCGTGTGCTCTGCTTCCTCCCTGCCCTCTGTGCCAGGTGCAGCGCCAGGCTCGAGACATGTCCTGCTCTGAGAAGTGCCAGCAGTGCCGGCCCTGCGAGTCTTGCTGCCAGTCCGGCGGCCCCTGCCCGCTGGCCAGCAGCTGCAATGAGTCCTCTGTCAGGCAGATCCAGAGCTCCCACGTTGTCATTCAGCCGCCTGCTGTGCTGGTGACCCTGCCCGGCCCCATCCTCAGCTCCTCCCCACAGAACACCGCCGTGGGATCCTCCACCTCTGCTGCTGTTGGCAGCATCCTCAGCTGTGAGGGAGTGCCCATCAACTCTGGGGGCTTTGACATCTCCTGCATCACCAGCTGCTCTGGTGGCAGCAGATGTTGTCGTCCCTGCTAAAGACGCTACTGCCAATGTCCTCATTCAAGAATCTCCAAGGCCTTAGAACTTGGTGATGGAATGAGGACAAAATGCTGGAACATGGAATTTATACTTTTTCGCTGTTACTTCCTTCTTGTGCTGCCTCCTCTTCTCTTCCTTTCCTGTCACCACCAACCATTGCCAGCCTAGTGGGACTGTTTGCCCTCTCACCCTTTTCCTCCCTCATCATGCAGGCTGGTTAGACCAACATCCCCACTGCATCTTAGTGGCTGCCCCTTATGTTGCCTTTGAGAATCACCATCTTTTCTTCTCTAGACTCAATAAAGTTCTTTCTGCATCCACTGCAGGCCTCGTTTTTCTCATTTATCTCTGAGAACTCATCCAGTTACCTCAGGAGAGAGGTGAAAAAGCAGAGTGGGACTCACTGTTATGGATTTTCCTTGTTCCCTTGGAGCTGACAAAGATACCCTGACAGTGAGGGTGATGACACACTGGATCCAGTTGCCCAGAGAAGTTTCTTCTCATTCCTGGAAATGTTAAGGCAAGGTGTCTGAGGACTTTGAGCCACTTGATTTTGTTGTTGCCATTCTTGCCCATATTTTGTGGGGTGGGTGGGGTGTTGCAAATGAAAAAAAATGTTGCTTAGGTTCCCTTCCATAATAAGATTTTGAGTTGATGCAGTCAGGTAAATGGAACAACCACAAAACCATGGTGGAAAGGGAAAGAGCAAATTTATTTCCTTGCCTCTCTCCACAGAGCAGTCCAAGGGAATGCTTGGGTGGAGATACACGAGTGGGAATATTTTTCCCCTTTGGCTCAGTCTTTGCTAGCAGGGCTCCTCTTTACACGAGTGCTGTGATCTCCCTGTGCTTTTTGTGATCTCGGAGCTTTGATCTTCTCTCTCCCAAAAAAGGAAGCTCAAGTATGTCCTTAAGAGTGCCTCCAAGTCTCTCCAAACACTGGCATTGTCTCCACACAGAGATTCTATTTCTCCAAACACAGGATAAAACAGTGCTACGCATGCTTTTTTAGTGTTTTCCACACTGACACACTCCAGGCCTGGGCATTCCCAGCTGCAAAGTCACTTCAGCAAACATACAATCATCCTCCTAATTCTTCTGCTTTTAACCCTTGGTTCCAACCCAAACAATTTCTAATGAAATCTGCTTTCACAGAGGCATCAACAGTGTGACAAATATGTTCAGTGTTGGGCAGAGCTGAGACCCTTTTGGGCTGGAGCTGACAAAGCCAGACATGGTGGGAGACACTGGACTCTTTAAAGTTACAGAGCCCATTCCTTCAGCCTTCTGCCTCAGGTTCTAAATCTTCCAACTATTATACAAAGGGAGAGGATCCATGACAGTGTGAAGCAAAATTTCAAGAGCAAAGTATTATGAAAGTGTTACTTCAACCATCTGCCTTATCTCAAGCCTCAAGTTTTTTTGCGCCTTATTTTTTCTTCCCGGTCCACTTCTGAAGTTGGTGTGATAGTGTGGCGATAGAGAACTGGACATCCAGTGAGGGTCAAAGCAACACAGTGGGTAATAACAACCAAAGACTGTCAGGAAAGAATATTTCTCAGTGGTGAGAAATGCCAGCATGTAGCTTGAGAATGGAACTAGGGAGGTAGGGAAGCACTTTTCTTGGAGAAGTATTCTTACTGTGGCACCTGGAAATAAGCAAAACACAACACATGGGCAGAGCAGGAATGAGGTGGAGAAAGAGGCATGGACTGTTGACCAAGTCGGCAGACCAAGTAGGGAGAAATGAAGATGCGACATGTGCCTGCATGGAATGCCACCGACCATGACCCGAGCATTCTGCCTAGTCAGAAATGTTTATATCCTGGAAATTCTTCGACCTCTCCTCCTGGACCTAACAGAAAACCTCAGATAAGAAAGCAAAGGGCAGAAGCCAGGAAATGGAAAGGCACCAATTCAAGAAACAGGATACAGCCCCTATCATTAACTAGCAGGGTGAACAATTGACATGAGCTGGTCAGAAAATTATTAATTCCACAAATGGGCCAGAGGGCCTGAGGCAGGCCAGGACTGCTATAAAAGGCAGCCCAAGTCTCTGCTCTCTCATCCACTTCTCTCACCTCCTCCTCCTCAGGAATCAGGTGAGTGTGAAGCCTCTTCTCCTACTGCTGCTTCAAGAGCAGCTCTTGCCTGGCTGGAGGTCTCAGCTGAGAGGGGTTGTGGGAGCGCAGGGCTGGGAGCTGCTTGTGCTGGGAGAGGGCAGGGGAGAGAAGGTCTTGTGCAGACAGAGAGGGGCTGGGACTGGGCTGAGGTGGCTCCTGGGCTTTGAGCTGGGCAGTGCAATGTGGGCCAGGAGGTGCCTTGGCTGCAGGGGGTTTGGGTGCAGTGCTGCTTCTCATGTGCCCTCACTCTGTGCTTCTCCCTGCCCTCTGTGCCAGGTGCACCCGTGAGCCCCAGCCATGTCCTGCTGCAAGCCCTGCGACCCTTGCTGCCAGCCCTGCGGCCCCTGCCCGCTGGCCAGCAGCTGCAATGAGTGCTGTGTCAGGCAGTGCCAGAGCTCCCACGTTGTCATTGAGCCACCTGCTGTGCTGGTGACCCTGCCCGGCCCCATCCTCAGCTCCTCCCCACAGAACACCGCCGTGGGATCCTCCACCTCTGCTGCTGTTGGCAACATCCTCAGCTGTGGCGGAGTGCCCATCAGCTCTGGGGGCTTTGACATCTCCTGCATCACCAACTCCTTTGGTGGCAGCAGATGCCGTCCCTGCTAAAGCTGCTGGCAAAGTCTTCCGGCAAGAATGCCCAAGACTTCCAGCATGGTTTTGGGCAGGAGATAGAGCTTCAGAGAATTGTATTTAGAGCTTTGGACCATGGCTTCCTTGTTCTCTACTCCTCTCCTCTTCTGTCCCTCTCTAGCCAGGCAGTCAAGGGAGGAAAAAGAACCAAAGGAAAAGATTCTAACCCTCAACAGCTGCTAAAGGGGAGCGAACAGCACTCAGCTATGCTATGTGGTTACATCTCACATCAGAGCAACACCAGATTATGGGTTCTCAACCTGCAGGAACTCTACTGCATCTTTGTGGGTGCTACTGGTGCTCTCTGTATGCCACCTCTTTTTCTTTTTCTGACTCATTAAATTCATTGCACAACTAAGCCTTGTCCTCTGAGTCATCCTTCTTTCCACAGAAAGTCTTCCAGTTTGCTCAGGATAAATGGTGGAGAAGCAGAGATTAAGAGTCCCTGTAGTGAATTTTACTTTGTGTCTTTTTGCCTTGGAGTTGAAGAAAACATACCTGGGTACTGCACAGTCAATGGCCATCAGGAACAGCGAGGCTCCAAAGGGTAGCAGGAGTGCATTGGTGTATGAATTGATATGCATGCCCACTAACCTAACAGGCAAGGCTGTATTCTGAAAACCAATACATATTCATCACTTTTCTGAATACCTCCACATAGGTTAAATATTTTTCCATCAACTTGTTTGGACATTATTCCAGATCTTCTGATTAATCTTTTTGAGAGTATCCCAAATATGTGATCAGGTCATAAAGTATTACTCCATCATTCTTCACTCTGACACACAAACTTTGTACACAAAACTAGAATTGTGACCGCACGCTGTGGCCACAGGGTAGAAAGTCACCAGTTAGCACACTTCCCGTGACCACAGGGCACGCATGACAGTGGCTGCCCCCAGATCTCGCCTGAGACCTCTGCGGGTGACGGTGCTCGCAGGGAGTTTGTGGCTCCCTGCAGCAGGCTGGGTAGCACAGCAGAGAAACCAGGTACGAGGAACCGAGACAAAGGAAATTGGGAGAGATCGCTCGTATGAAATCCAAGGAAGGTTTATTCCCGGGAAGGTCAGGGACGAGTGACAGAGAAAATGGGTCTGATTAGCATTTTTAAAGAGGGATGGTACACGCTCATCCAATGAGGGACTCTTGGGGAGGATTACATCACTTAACAAATCCAATAGGGATGATTCAGGGGAGGGAAGAAGCCTTACAAGCCAATCAACCATCAAGACAGAGCTAACTGTCACAGAACATTCAAGAACACAAGGGGAGTGACAACAATGAGTGACAAGAGTAAGGGGCAGTACAACTGAGAGTGATGAGGGTTTATAAGGGAATGAGGGGAGGAGCAGGGAGACCAACACACTTATGGGCGGACAAGTTGCAGGAAAACTTTGTGGTAAATAACTTAGAACTGAACCATTAGAGGGAACAAAATAGGGTATATGGGAATTACAACTGACCAACATAGAAGGTCTAAATTTTATATTAAAACAACTGTAAAAACACCAACTACCACAGAGGATATTGTCTAATCCATATTAATTACTAATATAAGTAAATGAGGAAGCATTAGGCCACATTAATCTCTGGTATTTGTACTAAGCACTGCCTGCTGCAAAACTAAGCATTAACCAGGAATATAGAGATCATACAGTAGGTGTTAAGGTCAAAAGAAGTTTCCAACATCTTCCCCCACTGCTGCAAAAACTTCCTGAAGAAACAGAACTTGTTCCATAGCAAATCCCCACTTTGAGACTTTAATATAATTTCTTTAAAGTGCCATATCCAGTTATTATATTGACCAAGTCTGCACAGCAGTAAGCACTGAATTAAACCTCATCACATCACATCACATCACAGTAAATACAAGAGGTTGTTTTAACCCTAACCATTTGGAACTGAGAAATAACTCACCCACTAAAACAGCCAAGAGAATCTAGTCCTTCTGTCCCTGTAGCACTTGTGGCTAGTTTCTTTAGTTGTTTCTTTCTTTTCTATTAGTCAGGACTTATTGGAAAGATTGAACCAACACATCCCATTAAATTCTTCACATCCTGATTATGTCTCAACACCAAGTAGTCAATTGCTGCTCAGTTTCCAAGGGCAGCTTCTCTGACTTGTGTCATTTCTGCACTTAGGGCTCTCAATGCTTGCAAAGTGTAATTTATATCTTTAACTAAAGCACACATTGTTCTCTTTGGTGTGATAGTTCACAGCTACCCCGACACCAGGTGTTCAAAAG